AGGGCTCTGCCAGTCGCAGAGACCAGCTGAGGAGTGAGAGCACTTAGCGCTCTCCACCTGAGAGCCAGAGCCCTGGTCTCAGCACGCAAATGGGAGCGCAGGACGACAGACACTTCACACGGATGATGCCCTCCGAGCCCGTGTGTTCCTCAAGCCCAGAGCGCAGCAGCGCCGCCCGGCCACAACTCACTCTATTTCACTTCTGCCTTTACTGACCACGCGGTGGGCTCCGGATTCGCCAGCGTGAGCCTCACTCACACAACGTGGAGAGAAAGAAAGGTTTTAGCGCAAGCAGTTTTATGTGCAATGGCGAAGATGTGTCAGCTCTTAACATTTTAAATGAAACTTTAAAAATAAACCACTACATGAAAGCACTTTGAATTAAAAGCCTGGAACGAACTCAGAAGTTCATCTGCTCCCCGAGGTGACCTCTGGGTGAGGCGTCGAGCCATTGATGCACCAGCTCTAATGAATGGAATCGCACACTCCGCCTCAGACACAGGTTCCAGCGTCAGCAAGAAACTACCCAATGTCTAGTCAACAAAGTGCTCCTGAAATAGAGGCAGGTTCTCTGTCCTGCCTCGGTGCACACCACACGGCTATTCAGGGTGAAGTCTCGCCTTCACGGTGTCTGACTACCCTGAGAGGCACACCCACATCACACCTGCTTCACCCTCTCCCACAAGGACAAGTGGGGGTGGTCTAAGAAACCCCCGTTACACGGCGAGCCCGAGGTCGCACTGTGCAGAAGGCGAGGATTTGGGGCCAAAGGTGTTCGTCCAATGGGAGCCTAGAGCCGTGTGAACCTGAGCAGCCACAGCCTGCAGGCAGCTCATCCTCGGACCCGTGACCCCGCTCAGCCCCTCGGCGCGGGGTGCCCTCCACCTCGGGGATGGGCAGCCAGGGTTCGTCAGCACCACGACAGGTCCAGTGGCCCAGGAGGGGCCATAGAACCTGTGTCAGAGAGAAGGACCACGGGGAACGCACACGTTATATCCCAACTGGAATTTACCTGAAAAGACGAAGCTGCTGATTTTCCAAAACACATTTTAACAGCCCGGACTCTTCATCGTCTAGAAAGGCCATCGTGCTGAGTGGACGGGGAAATCAATGGTCGTTAGAACCATCGCCTGGAAGGAGCGCTAATTATTTGCGTCGACGGGAGATGTAAGTCCGTGGCCAGGCTCTTCCCTGATTTATGAGACAGCGTGTCCTCTGTAAAATGGGGATTTACGACACACACTGCCGAAGTGATTTATCGGCCACAGGAATCAATGGCCTGGCAATCTGTGAAAACTGTGTTTTTATAAACACCCGGGAAACGTATGTAAAACCAGAGCTCAGAGCATAGAAGGCTCCTTCACAGGGAAGAGGCGTCTGCCGTCCAGGATTAATTCACCTTCAGAAATCCATCTTGTAGTCGTCCAGCCCAGCACGTCGAGATGACAGATGGTGCTAACAAGGTGATTATTTAATGATAATTAATGATGGAGGCAACATAGAAAGAATGGGCTCAATTTTCCGCTGATTTAAAAAAAAATAATGCGTCCTACATGAATCGCTCAGCCCACGCGCTCAGCACATGCACAGATACTGCAGATACGTCCAGGGCCCCTGCACCTGCCGCCTCGCTTGCTCCCAATGTACTTAGAAAGGGGATCTATTTGAGGAGCAGCACCTGTCAATCAACCTTACCGGTGCTTTTGCCGTAACTTGATTGGGTGACGGGAGAGATAAAAGCCAAAGAAGAAAGCGTAAGATTCGGTGAATAAAGAATGTAGAGATAAAAGCTGAAAACATCAGGGAAGGGAAGAAGGACATTTGTATGGTGGTGGCTGTTTGTTTGACCGAGAAGAGCACCCAGTTGCAAAGACCACATTCCTTGCTTTTGAAATGATAACGTTCTCCGCAGCCACTGGGGTCTTGGACCGAGAGCGACTTCTGGTGCAGAGATACCGCCCTCGGCTGCATGCGCAGCGCGGGGACCACGGTGGGTTTCGGAGAAATCCAGCCCATTCGAGATCGTGTTTTCTCCAAGGAACCCCGATGGAATGGTTATAGCCTCGAGAGTGACCATGGATGCGAAGTGGGACCCCGACGTTGCAAACGCACCGTGAGCAGAGAAATGCGTGTTTTCTGCAGAAGGTTCCCTCCCTCCCACATCACCCCGGATTCGGATTCCAGGGCTGAGCATGGGCATGGACCGGGGCGTTTGGGGAAGGCGGGTGCGTGCTCACCGCTGTGATCACTGCGTCCTCGTGCCGTCCCAGCTGCTCCTCGCTGGGCCTTTCCTGTTCGCGACGGTGCAGGTGCCCACAAGGATGCTTGTTCCTGCTTTGTTTCCCTGAGATACAGGCACAGAGCCAGCGGGGCTCCCTGGGGTGCATCCGGTGGGAGAGAGACGAGCGATGTTCTTTCCTTATGGGGAGAAGGCCTCCCCCTGGGCCTCCCGGGATAAACCCAGGCCACAGGTGGCCACTGGAGGACAGCAGCTGCAGGGGCCTGTCAGCCCCGCACCACGTGGTCTTGGAGTTGAACTTCAGAGGAGTTACTGCTCTGTCTCCCGCCTCCCCTGCCCCTGGCCTGTGCTGGGCTCAGCAGGGACCCGCCGGAAGCTTCCATTCATCGGGGTCCTTCTGCCCTCGGAGTCAGGACGGCCAATGCCCAGCCTTCCTGCCTGAATCTCCACCCTCCAGGGAGGCCCTGAGGCTCTTCTGGTGCATGTTTCCTTCTTCTTCTTTTTTTTTAATATTTATTGTTGAAGTACCACCGATGCCTCCCTCCCCGCCATTGCCCCTCACACCTGGTTCTCACCCCGCCCCAGGCCCTCACCACCCTATTGTCTGTGTCCATGGGCAGGTGAATATGCATGTCGATTCCCTGGTTAATTTCTTCTCGCCTCCCCCCCCCCCACTTCTGTCGGAGACTCCTCAGTCTGTTCCATGTCCCCACGCCTCTGAGCTGCTGTGCTGGTCAGTTTATCTCGTTGCTAACATTTGGGTTCTTCACACCAGGGGGCAGTACGGAGCCACTCTTCCATGTTCCGTTGGCTGCGCCCTGGTCTTGGGCCTAGAGCCCCTGGGAAACGAGGCCCACATGCTAACGAAAAACAACAATAAAACCGGGTCCTGAGTCCAACTTCCAAGGCAGCTGCAGAGGTTTCCGGAGCCATTGCCGTGAAGCCAGGTGTAGATTATGTCCTAATCAGCACCGTTTTATCTCCTTGGACTTGTGTGCAAATGTTTCCGCTCACCACGGTCATTGCATGTGTCCTTGGAAACCACCGGAGACACAGTTACGCTCTGGCCACTTTCTATCGGCCATGTGTCCCTCGCATCCCCCATGTCTGGTCTCCTCGCATTGGCTGCTCTGTTGCTGGCCTTTCCCGGAATCCCTGTGCCAAGGCCAGAGGCCCTGACCCCTCAGTTTCCTGTAGGTCGGCGCCAGTCAACCCTTCGGGCCCTTGGAGGAGATGGGGCCGTGGCTGGGAAACCAGGGCACAGACTTAGCTTCCTGGTTGCATGGCGGTGGGTGGCGTTCTCCTTACCGATTCATGATTCAGATCCACCCGATGGAGCAGGGCTGCCATCTGCCCAGGGGGCTGGCACGACTGGCTGGTGCTCTGCCTTTCACGGAAGCCGCTTACCAATCGTCCGGCCTTCTGACCCACTAGGCTCTGGGGTGGGCGGGTAGCCCATCGTTTGCTCATTTGGGGGTCCTGGTGCCCTTGGGGCTCATGTCAGAGAACGTGGCCTCAGCTGAACGGACGTTCTCCAGGCCGTGTCTTGGGGACACTGGATAACGTTGCTTGGGAAACCATCTCACTTTTGAACAGTCATACTCTCTATTTGCAAATGAAAGTGGAATTGTTTTCAATGGACCTCTTACCAGACTTCATTCTTTTCGAGGCATTGATGAGGATTATGGGTTGTTAGAAACACACAGGAAATGATACAGCACTGTACAGGTACGAACACGAGAAACTGGATACAGAGAGAAAGTTTGAGGATCTCCCTATAGCAGTTTGAGGATCTCCCTATAGCAGTTTGAGGATCTTCCCTCCCTAGAACCTGCTACAGTTTTTGAGGTTCATTTGTATGCAAATCACTGAATCAGGTAACTGATCAGGTAACTGGATTTATGTCCTTCGAATATATTTTAGAGGTAGGAGCCACGTGATGACACACTTATGCGTTTTCATGCAAATTCTGTGCTAGACCAGCCTCAGGGCAGGGGTAAGACATCACCGGGTCACAACCCTCCCTAGAACCTGCTACAGTTTTTGAGGTTCATTTGTATGCAAATCACTGAATCAGGTAACTGATCAGGTAACTGGATTTATGTCCTTCGAATATATTTTAGAGGTAGGAGCCACGTGATGACACACTTATGCGTTTTCATGCAAATTCTGTGCTAGACCAGCCTCAGGGCAGGGGTAAGACATCACCGGGTCACTGGGACATAGATTTACCCCGTTGGGCATAGAGAAATTAAAATGAATACCCATCGGTACTCACTGACTAAAACAGTGATGGCGAACCTATGACACGCGAACTCATTTTTTTGGTTGATTTTTCTTTGTTAAATGGCATTTAAATATATAAAATAAATATCAAAATTATAAATCTTTGTTTTACTATGGTTGCAAATATCAAAAAATTTCTATATGTGACACGGCACCAGAATTAAGTTAGGGCTTTTCAAAATGCTGACACGCCGAGCTCAAAAGGTTCGCCATCACTGGACTAAAACTTAGCAATAGTTACGGCAAAACAAGAGAAACGGACAGCACACATCACAGCAGGAAAGCTTTATAAGTAAGTCGCTGGTTGTCATCCACGAAACTTCTCACGCTAACTGTTCATTAAGAGACAGAAGGAATTCCCAAGCTGACATCTCCTGTCCCGTCTTTAGCGGGAGAATCCTGCACTCTCAGGGAGGGGAAGGCCCAGCCCATCTCTTGCTGCCTTTCCGTGTTTCCTTAGGAGGAAGGTTCTTACCTTGGAACTGGGCGTTGAAGCCTTTGCGCCGGTGGTTGCCGTCGGAGGTGAAGTGCAGGCGCAGCCAGTTCCTGCTGCTGATGACGGGGGAGGGCAGGTTCATGCCCGTGAGCCTGGAAGAGAGGAAGAGACCCCGTGTCAACCAACAGGGCAAGCGGCCCACGTCACACCCGCGCCAAACCCCCTGCCCGGCTACGCCCTCGCTTCTGGGCTGCGTGTGCAGCCTGGACCCATCGGGGGATCTCATCTCCGCCCAACGCACAGGTGTGTGCCCCGGGGATGAGGGCTCTCAGACACCTGACACTGTGATTCTCCTTTATGAGCGACACAGACGCGAGAACACTGTCTTCCGTGTCTCACTGTTTCACCAGAACCGCAATGTGATGGACTCTGAGAGGGAGAACAGACAAGTGACGGAATGGGCCTTTCCCCGTTTGAACCCTCAGCCAGGGTTTCGCCGGAGGAGACTCTAATAAGCGGTTTCCGTGCTGGATAGACAGCATGCGGTGGGCACGCGCCCATCTGCACAATCAGGACTCGGCCCCTCCCACATGTGAGGACGGGCGTGTCTGAGATGACGAGAACGGGCCAGGAGCTGCGACCTGGAAGAACAGCGTGTCTGGGGAAAGCAGTAGCTTCAACAGGACGGCCTCTCAAATATCAGGCAGGTCCCTCCCAGTGAAGCTGACGAAAGACCAGCCCACTCCCCAGTGCGGGCGAGCTGTCAGCACCAGGCCAGGGGTTACTTCCCGCTGCGGACCTGTGGGCACTGGGGGTCCGTGCCTCCCGGGATCCAAGGGCACTGTGTGCCATGTGCCGTGTGTCATGTGCTATGTGCCATGAGACGTGTGCTGTGTGCATGCTGTGTGCTGTGTTCTGTATGCTGTGTGTCGTGTGCCGTGTGCTGTGTGCTGTATGCTGTGTGATGTATGCTGTATGCCATGTGCCATATGCTGTGTTCTGTATGCTGTGTGCTGTGTGCTGTATGCTGTATGCCGTGTGCTGTGTGTGTATATATATATATATATATAT